CAAAAACTTGTGTTTTGGAGAGACTGTAAAATTTAGTAGACAATATTTATAATGAGAAAATTCTTTTGCTGAATGTTTTCTTCTAGGTGTGAATAAAGTTTAACACATTATAAGCAAATGAACTATTTGTTTTTTCCTGACAGCTGCTGGGATAATCTGCAGGCAGGAAAGTGAAAAGGCCCCTCTACACTACATCTGTTAACTTAAGCCTGTTAGGTCGCTGCAAGGCAGCTTACATCGACCTAACTACGTAAGGGCAAGTCTACACTTAAAACACGCATTGGCACAGCTGCGCTCATGCAACTGTACCACTGTAACACTTTAATGAAGATGCTCTAAACTGACAGGAGAGAGCTCTCCCATAGGTGTAGTTAATCCACCTCCCTGAGAAGCAGCAGTTATGTCGATGGGAGTTCTCCTGCCGACATTGCGCTGCCTACATGGGGAGTTAGGTAAGTATAACTATGTTACTCAGGGGTGTGGATTTTTCACACCCCCAAGCAACATAGTTATACCAATGTAGGTTTGTAATGTAGACCAGACCTAAGTGTCGACTAACATTTCGCTCCCTGCCCTGCTAGGCTGACTTAACTCCACCTCCATGAGAGGCAACGTCGATGTAGTTAGGTCGACACAGTGTCAGTGCAGACACTTCATTACTTATATCAACTGTTACTGGCTTTCAGAAGCTGTCCCATGATGCCCCACCCCGACAGTACAGTTGGTACAAGTGCTCCTGGTGAGGACGCCCATTGCTGACACAAGGAGCATAGCGTGGACTTGCAAAAGCGATTTAAATAATGCAGTGGCTGTATGCTGACGTAACTTAGGTGAAATAATTTTGTAGCGTAGACATGCCCTGAGTTTGTAGGCTCTGGTTAACAAATGTTTTTTAAGTCTGGCAGCCAACAATGACACTGCTTCCTTCCCCAGACCTGAAGAGCTTGGTATAGCTTGAAAGCTTGTACCTTCCACCAACAGAAGTTAATCCAATAAAAAGCTATTACCTCACCTACCTTGTCTCTGTCATACCCTGGGACCAACATGGCTACAACACTGCAGCCAACAATGTTTCACTTTTGTTTATGACCTAGGATGGCAAAGGCTAGTCCTCTGTTGCTGGTCTTGCTGGGTTTTTTTGCAAAGTAAATCTGATTCCACAACTGTGCCTTTGTAACTAGTTTGAGCAATTCTTCCTCCTAGCTCTCTATGCAGTAGTATATGCCAGATTGTATTTTTCACATGCTACTGGTGCCACTTTTTGTGCATTACCAGTCACTCAGGCCTGATCTACACTGAAAAGTTATATTGGCATAGCTTTGTTGGTCAGGTGTGTGAAAAAAACACACACCGGTGACTGATGTAGCTATACAATATAACTCCCAGTGTAGACACAGCTATATTGACAAAAGAGAGCTTCTATTAACATAGCTAACTTTGTTTGGGGAGGTGATGTTCCTACACCAACAGAAAACCCCCTTCCATTGGTGAAGGCTGCATCTATATTACAGGGCTATGCTGGCACAGCTATGCTTGTATAGTCTCTGGGCTTGTCTACACTTACAGCGCTGCACCATTGTAGTGCTTAGTGAAGATGCTACCTATGCCAACGGGAGAGCTTCTCCCGTTGACATAAGTACTCCACCTCTCTGTGAGGTGGTAGCTGTGTCGATGAGAGAAACCCTCTTGTTGACATAGTTCTGTTTACGCTGGGGGTTAGGTGAGTATACCTACATCGCTTTCCACATCCCTGAGTGACATAGTTATACTGACATAAGTTGGTAGTGTAGACCAGCCTCTGTCATATAGACACACTCTTATATTGATTTAAAATTGGCTTATATCAGTTTAGATTGTGAAATAAGCCACTCTGAAACCGAAAGAAGACTGTCTACATACAAACTTGTACCAGTCTAGCTAAAATAGGTTTACAAACACACTTTTAGCCAAATCAGTGCAAGTTTGTATGTTGACAAAGCCTTACAGCTGCAAGCTAAACTGATCTATGCCAGGTTTAAATTGAAGTAAGAAAGTCCACACAGGGTTTTGCAGCAATTTAACTTGTTTAAAATATCCTTTTATTAAACTGGTACAGGCCTGCAGAACAGGCCTCATCCTTGCAGAAAAATGTACTCAGCCAATAACAACAGGAGCAAAGTACAGGAGCAAAGGTGTGAACTCACCCCATTCATCACAGTAAGTTGTGGACTATTTATCAACTTCAGAGTTTATTACAAACCATTAAAATGCTAACAACTTTCCTTTTCTTTAAGAAAACAAAAAAGGAAGTCAAATACACAAAAGCTATGTACTTGCAATGTTAATATTCTACAATTAAACACACAAAGCAAGGGAATACAGCAATTAAGGTTCTTGAATTAACATTAACTTGCCCACATTGTGCATACAGATTTGTGATTACTGGTTAGGCTACTGAATACACACTATGTGCAAAACTAAGTTCATGTTTCTGAGAGAACCTTACTTTTTGCATTCCTTGACTTTGTTCAAATATGTAACCTTAATGTTTCACTAATCTCAATTTTTTCACTAAAGCCCCAAACCTGCAATCTGACCAAGTCTCCTCATTGTGTGTCAAACTTGCTGCCCCATCCACCCTCATTCTTTCCTACGAAGTGTATTTAACAGAGCAAATGCCCTCCTACCCCCACCAACTCCTATAGGGTGTGTGAGTGTCTAAGGCTATGTCTACACTGGGATAAAAAGACCTGTGGCTGGTTCAGCTGACTCGGGCTCACAGGGCTCAGGCTCTGGGGCTAAAAAATAGGTGTGTAAATACTCGGGCTGGAGCCCGAGTTCTGGGACCCTCCATCCTCACAGGGTACAGAGTTCTGGCTGGAGCCCAAGCCTGAACTTCTACACAGCCATTTTTAGCCCCTCAACCTAAGTTGGGCAAGCTCAAGTCAGCTGACCTGGGCCGGCCTTGGGACTTTTATCCCTATGTAGATGTACCCTAAGAACTTCTGCCCCCACCTATTGTCTCATATGGTGTGTGTGTCTCACGGCTTGTCTATACAGCAGTGCAGCTGCACTGTTGTAGTGTTAAGAGGCCTGGTCCACACTACAAAGTTAGCAAGGCAGTTTATATCAACCTTACTGTGTTTACACTAAAATTTCGCTCCCCGCTGACGTAAATGCCCTGCTATGGCGACTTACCTCCATGTGAGGTGTAGAGTCAATATTGATGTAGTTATATCAAAGCAGTGTCAGTGTACACACTGCGTTGCTTACATTGACTGTTACTGGCTTTCAGAACTTCCCACAATGCCCCAGTGACAGTACAATCTGTACAAGTGCTCCTGGTGAGGACACGCACCGCCAACACAAGGAGCAAAGTGTACACATGCACAAGTGATGTAATTACTGTCACCACTGTATGCTGCCATAAATTACGTCGATTTAATTTTGTAGCGTAGACATGCCCTCAGTGGAGCCGAGCGAGCCGCTCTCCCCGCCGCGGGGCTGGGCCTGGACGTGCCACTCTCGCCGTCTCGCCCTGGTTCCGGTTGCCAGGCCGGGCGGCGGCGGGGTCGTGGTGGCGGCGGCGGGCAGGTCAGAGGGCTCCCCCAGCATCCTCCGTGCTGGATACTCAGCCATCTTGGATCCGCGGGACAAGAAAATTCATGCAGTGATTTCGGCCCCCATTATTTTCTGGCCCCCTCCCCGCGGTGCGCTCTGCCCGCTGCCTCCCAACCGGGCCCTCAGCCGCTTCTCGGCTCTCCGAGCTCTGGTCAAGTGTAGGTAGTCTCTTGGTCTATCCAAGGCCGTGATCAAGTGTCTTGACGTTTTTGGTCTTTTGGCCTCGAGATGAAAACCTTGTCTTTGTTTCTGGGACCTTGAAGTGAAAAAATTCTCTAAGTTATTCCTATGCTGATAAAAGGGGTTCTCCCATCCTCATAGATCAGGGGTTCCCAATGCAGTGCTTGTGGGTGCCATGGTGCCCGCCAGGGCATCTAAGTGCGCCCGTGTACTGGCCGGCGGACGAGCATCTGCCAAAATGCCGCCGACAAGCAGCAACGTCAATAGGCGTTGCCGCCGAAATGCTGCCGATTGGCAGCATTTCGGCGGATGCTCATCCGCCGCCACGGTCCTCCGTGGCTCATCATCTGGCGCCCGCCAGACGAAAAAGATTGGGGACCACTGTCATAGATAATCCACCTCCCTGAGAGGCCGTAGCTAGGAGGACAGAAAAATTCTATCTCCTTAGTGCTGTCTACACGGGGACTTAGATCAGCTTAGCTGTCACTCAGGGGTGTGGATTTTTCACCATCCCCCCCAGTGATGTAGCTGGGTCCATCTAATTTTCTAGCGTAGAGCAGAAGCCCTCACAGCTGCTGCCCCCACCCATTGTCTCCTATGTGTGTGTGTCTGTAACAGAGCTGCTGCGTCCCAGAGCTGCTGCGTGGGTGGAAGGGTAACAATCCTAATACCCCACCTTCTCTGCCAGGAAGCGGGTGTTTAACGGAGCTGCTCCCCCCGCCCCACGGGTGTATCAGACCCAATACCCGCCCCCTCCTGAGCAGTGTGTGTGACCGAGCTGCTGCCCCCTCACGTCAGGGGATCACAGCACTAATTAGGGCCCCGTTGTCTCCAGTGGGGAGCGTGTGGCAGGGCTCCCGCTCCCCTCCGCTCTCTCCCAAGGGGGAGGCCGCTGCCTGTCCCAGGCCCGGCTCCCTGCTGCAGCAGCGCCCTGGCCTCCCGCCGGGGTTAAGCGCGGAGAGAGCGAGGCCCAGGAGCCGGGCTCGCCCGAGGGGAAGGAAGGAGCGAGGCGGCTGCGGCTCCTATCGCGGGGCCAAGCCTCCCACGGGAGGCGGAGGGAGCCGAGCGAGCCGCTCTCCCCGCCGCGGGGCTGGGCCTGGACGTGCCTCTCTCGCCGTCTCGCCCTGGTTCCGGTTGCCAGGCCGGGCGGCGGCGGGGTCGCGGCGGCGGCGGCGGGCGGGTCAGAGGGTAAAGGTCGCTCCCCCAGCATCCTCCGTGCTGGATACTCAGCCATCTTGGATCCGCGGGACAAGAAAATTCATGCGGTGAGTTCGGCCCCCATTATTTTGTAGCCCCCTCCCCGCGGCGCGCTCTTCCCGCTGCCTCCCAACCGGGCCCGCAGGCGCTGGCGGCGGGGCCCCCGGCGGTCCGGGCCCGGCTCCGGGGTCCCTGGGCCCGGCCGCAGCCAGCCGGGTTTCCGTTTGCTTTTGTCTCCGAGGGAGAGAGAGGGGGGGACGCGCAACGTCTGAGTCGGGAGCGGAGCCCTTAGGCCCAGCCCAGGCAGCGGCCCCGGCCTCTTCCGCCATCTCCGGCCGCGGCGGCGGCGCCCGAGCCCCGCTCTGCGGGGAGGGAAAGGCCGGCACTGCGGGAGGCGGCAGAGCCCGGGGCCCGCACCCTGGGGCCTCTTCATCCTCTGCGGCCGCCTGTGGCACTTCACAGAGCCCCGGTTTCCCTTCCTGCTGCGCCGCTCTCTGCCCCTTGCCCTGGCCGCTGCCTCCCCTTCCACCCGCGATGTCCGCCCCCTGCCTCTCCTCCGCGCTCCCGCCTGTGTCCTAGTGTCTTCCCCCAAGCCCTTGGCCTAGTTGTGGATCCTGATACCCTGCAGCCCCATTGTACATTCGGCTTGCTTAGGTGTGTGAGGATACAAGTTGGTGTTAATGTCCCCCATCCCCTGTGCCTTTTGGCTCCTGGTTAAGAAACCGATGGAGCAAATCTGCCACCCATCGACTCTGGTGCTACTGGCTTTTCCTTATAGGCGATGCTGGGGTTTTGCTGTTCACCAGTGTGGCCTTGCGGCCTGTTACATGAGTCCCCTAGATGAAGCGAGGGGGTGAAATAGGGTTAATTATTTTTTGGTGTATTCTCCACAGCCTTTCTAAGGGAGGCTGAGATGATGTCGGAACAGGTTCTGATCCTCCCTCAGAAATGTTTGTTAAACAAACTTGAAGCAAACTGAACCACTTCCTCTGAGTGCTGCCTCTGTGTCAGATGATATCTTGTCTTCCTGTGTCTGGTGGTGTTTCTGCTTTGAAGCAGCTTTCAGTGTGAACCAGTGCTAATGGGAACATGCAGATACAGTAAGGGAGAGTTAATTCTTGTGTTTACAATTGTAGCTGTGTGCACATATTCCTGAAATTTGCAAACCAAAAAATGATGTATCTGTTACTTAAACTTTTATTATAATTCAAGTTACACATAACTTTAGTTTTTAGATATTTTGTACTACTCTGTCCAAAACCCACAACATAATTATGTCATTGTGGATCAGCAGCGTTTACTTTAAAAAAAAAAAAAATCCATTTTGTTAGAGAAACTTACTGCCAAAACTGTGGTGTTATATTGGCTTTGAATTTCATATATAAAATGTAGAGATCTCCCGTTTGATTCCTGGGTGGGGAGTGAATTAAGTCCATGAAGGAACGAAACATTCATATTGGCCTGTACAGCGGTAACATCTGGTGGAAGTGATTGGCTGCTGGGCTTAACTCAGCAATAGGGGAGCTTAAAGTTTATCAAACTTCCTGTCCTGTCAGTCAGTAGATATTAGGGTTCTGGAAACATGGAGGCAGTTCAAACTATTGAGACCTGTTCAGAGCAGAATAATCAAATATAATTGCAAAGATTCCTTTATTTGGACCTGAGGGTGGATTTACATACGCACTAATGTCCTTTGATTTTTTTCTATGATAGTATTTTTCAATGTGGTCTATTGTTGATCAAAGCATGCCTGATCCAGTTCTTGAGGACTGCCACTATTTTATAACATCATAACTGTTTGTGTGGCGAATTCCAGTGGACACATGGTAGACTTCCAGATTTCAAGGTGCTAGATCCTTCTGGTATTATAAAGTACTCAAATTCCTTCATAGTTTATAACAAGAACTGGCATACCATTCATTAGAAGGTGGTATTTCACTCCCCCTCCCCTCCCTCCCCCGGAAGCTGATGATAAGGCTAACATTAAGTATTTTTTTTTTCTCATATGTGTTGTTTTGTTATGATTTCTTATCATTTGTCTGATGCCTTTAGCTAAGAATTTAAAAAGTGACTAGTGATTTTGGACACTTTAGTTTCTAAATGCCAAACTTGAGATGCCTTTTTTTTTTTTTTTTTTATTTTGCGAGTATTTAGTACTTCTTGAAAATCAGGCCTATTAAGGTGTTTCCAATTGGGCAGACAAAAATTGAGGTCTCAGAAATCACTCATGACTCTTGAAAATCTTGACCTTTGTCTCTAGCTTGTGTTAAGAATTAGGTATGCCATTTAAGCAGGTACTTGACATTAGATCTGAAATCAGAAACTTTAATTTTTAGGCTTCAGTTTTACACAGTTTGTATGGTGCGGGATATTCTGTACGTCAGTTCATTGTATCATCATAGTCTTAATTTTTATAGGTGTTTTTGTATTTGAAAAATATACTTTTCACATCACTCAACTTTAATCTGTTCAAAAATTCTGTAACTTTTTCAACTTAGTTACTACTTCAACCCTGAAGGCAGGTATCAGTCACTAAATCGACAATGTATTGTTAAAGGTAAAATGAAAGCAACCTGCATCAGACATTCTGACTTGATCTAAAATATTAGGCCTAACACTAATTGTAGTTAGATTCTTCTGTCAAAAATGCACGTGCAAATCTCACTGAATTCTATAGGAATTGTGCACAAGTATTCAAGGACAGAATTTGGCCTTAAGCACTGCAGAATCCCTGTTGTTTTAAAGTGCTGTTTAAATAAATCTATTATCCAACCTGTTACTTGTTTGTGAAGATCTGTGTGGTAATTAAAGAATATATGGTAGTTCCTACTTTTTCTTTAATTGTTGGTAAACCACTTGTCACATTTAGAAATATACAAAACAAATATTAGTCTAGACAGAGGGAGAAATGTTAAGTGCTCCAGCCTAAGCCCGTATACAAGTGATGTGGTACGTACTAGTCTAACCAAAACTGAATTTTGCTGGGGAGAAGAGGGAAACAAACAAACAAAAAAGCAGTTTATCATCAGATATACAGGATTAGTCAATCATTTTTATAATTAATGCAGAAAACACACAGTTTGATACATATTGACAAAAATCAAGAAATTCAAAGTTAAGTTAAGCTTGAATCCTCTGGCCTTTATTAGCTTATGTCAGAATCTTAATATATTTTTAAAATAGTGTTAGGAATTTGATAAAGTTGTCAATGAAATTTTACAGATGCATTTGTAGTTGAAAACTCTTCTGATGTTTCAAATATACTATATCCAGAGACTCAGACTAGCTTGTTTTGGTTCCAGTTTCCTGGGTAGAGGTCATACCATAAATAAGACTACGACTAAAATCAAGGGCACTATATCGGGCTGTTGGTGATGGCTCTGATCCTGCAAACGCTTATGCGTGTGCTTAACTTTAAGTGTGCAAGTAGCCTCACTGACTTATTTAAGTCTGAATTTGCATAAGTGTTTGCAGGATTGGGATCTAAATATGTATTGGTGACTTTCTGAAAACTTAAAAAATTTTGTCTAGATAGATCAAAGTTAGTATCAATGAGCTTTATTTTAACATTAAAAGATCTGCGTTTTTTAAAAAAGTGAAATTATTGCACAGACTACTTTAAAATGCTAATAACCCTTTACTGTGGGGAATACAAAAGGGAGAGTTGACATCCAAAGAACCATGTCTATGTTGAATTAGTAGACACAAAATTAATTGTATGTAAACTATTTTTGAGATTCAGTATTGCTGAAATAAAAGTACTATTTTGTTTGTATGCCTTTGAAGTAAAATCCAACTTAAAATATCTTTTGAATTTAAGAGAAAATTAATATTGTTTTTGTAAAGAAGGATACCAAAATGCATTACAGGCATGTACAGGCTGCCAGGTTTTAGGCTTAGGCAGATAAGAGGCTAGGTGGTATCCTCTGAAAATAAAATTTTAATGACAAAAGTGCTTATGACTCCTAATTTACACTAGAAAAGTTTGTCGGTATAGCTGTATCCTCCTCGTGTAGATGCAGCTTAAACTAGCAAAAGATGGTTTTTGCTGGGACAGGTTCCCTGAAAGAAGTAACCTACACTGGAAAAGGCACCTTCTGCTGGTATAACTGCATCTAAAATAAAGCTTTTGCTGGTACAGAAATGCCTTAAAAAAATCACGCCCCCAACTGACAAAAGTTACCAGCAAAAGTTTCTAATGAAGACCTGTCCACTGTGCCTCTCATGAAAAATTTTAATGGGCACTTGTCTCAAGCGTTAGTAGAGAGAGAGAACTGGTGACAGAATATCAGGAGATAGCTTGAAGACTGTTATGCTGCTTGTAACAATGTACAAATTACATGTCATTACTGAGCGTACACATCCTACCCTGCAGCTCTTAAAATAAAAAAATGTACATCTGCATAAGTAAAAGGACACCATTTTCTTCCATAGTTTTTTACCTCTCCGTTGTTTGTAATACCTTCTACAAACTTGAAAATAATCTGGTGGTGGTTGTTGTTACTGGTATTATGGTAGTACCTATGTGCTCAAGTCATGGACCAGGACCCCACTACTTGGCACTGTACAAACAGAACAAAAAGATGATCTCTGGCCCAAAGAGCCTACCATTTTTTGTTTTCCATTTTGTACATGTTTCCCTTCTGTTCCCTCCCTCCGCCCCCTTATTTCTATGGAGTATAGTTCATCAAGCCTTTGTCTACGATTAGCTCCCTGGTTGTTTTTTTCATTACTTATCAATGGTGCTTTGAAAATAAGATTTTTACTTAAACTTCACCTCTTCTGCCATCTGGTTGGGTGTGTTGTTTAATTTCACAATCACGGATTGGGAGACTTAAAAACCGAAAAATCCATAGGGCATTGCCCACCAGATCATACTTATAGGTTAAAATTTGGGACTAAGCTATTTGAGAATCCTTTTAAAATAATTAAGCGTTGTGATCTTTTCAGTCACTTCCCTTTGCTGATTTATTTGCTCTAACAGTCCAAGAGTAACTAACCTGAAATTCATTCAAGTCTTTCAGGTTCTCTTTTCCATTTGTTTGTTTTTGTTTTGAGGTTGTTGGGT